TGGCCGCGTGTTCCAGCCACGAGATATAGGCTTATATCAATAACATGGAGGGCGATTGAGGGTGGGGAGGTCGATGGAAGAATGGAAAAATTGATGGGGAGCTTATGGGAGGGTAGAGTTGATGGGAAAGGGAGGAATATGATCGAAAAAGAGGATGAGTTTTTGTGGCAGAGAGAACACCGTGTTCACTGGAAACGTTCTGTTGTAGGGAGAACACGAGGCTACAGAAGCGTCTCGCTGTCTCAGAAACATAAATAATGAACATCACAGAAACATAAATAAAGAACATCACATAAATAAAGTTCCCTTAAGAAATTGCATCGCCAAATCAAAGAACGAGAGAATTCCTATCTCAAACTTAAAGCAAAATGCTTCCATCTTTTCAGAAAAAAATATATAAGTACCTTCAAACCTTGATTTCTTGAATACCTTGCAATAAAAGCATTGTTTTACCATCTTTCCAGAATTAAAATTAACATGCTACAAAATGGACATATTGGAGATGAGAAATATGGCGTAATCTGAAATAATTATTAAGTCTTTCACAGTCACAAAGTCTTCGGTGTGAGTAAAGTTTTAACGTAAGAGACAAGAGTTAGAGCTTGGTCTTTAGTCTCGAAAACAGAAGTCAAGTGATTGCTTCAGTGTTTCAAGATCACTGGGATACGTAGAGTTCAGTGTCTCAAGATCACTGGGACACGTAGAGTTCAGTGTCTCAAGATCACTGGGACACGTAGAGTTCAGTGTCTCAAGATCACTGGGACACTTAGAGTTCAGTGTCTCAAGATCACTGGGACACGTAGAGTTCAGTGTCTCAAGATCACTGGGACACGTAGAGTTCAGTGTCTCAAGATCACTGGGATCCGTAGAGTTCAGTGTCTCAAATTCATTCGAACAGGAAGACTTTCCTCTCTTACAACCACCGTCATATCAAGTCTTTGGTGTTTCAAGACTACTGTGAGATAGGAAGACTTCCCTGCCACAAAACCACGGTGACAGGCAGACTTTACACTCTCTCTCACAAACATAGAGGGGACGCAAACATCTATAAGAACCCCGGTATACCCTCGTCGTTATCGTGGCGCGGAGGGTGCAAGCGGCGTGTATAATCTCTGGCTGGGCTGTCCACTTGACGGACTCCGGAGTCGAGAGCGACACACTCGAGCCGTTCAGACCAACTCAGATGGACACTCCTGATACGGGACTCGAAGAAAATCTCCTAAAATATTTGGAGGTCTGACAAGAAACACAGAATACAGCTTTTGGGATGAGGACAAATTTCAGTGGGGGATTTATTTCCTCTTACGAAGGTATTTCATGTATTTGTCCGCATATAATACTGTGGTGACGCTCATTTCTTAGTGACACACTTTATAATATTATATAAAATTTTGTTTATCCGGTCCTATACAGGATATACCGTGTTTGAAGGTGTTCCTACCAATCTATCTAACAGTTTCATTGAGAAACTGTTAGTGATGAGATGAACCACCAAATTGATGCCAGAGTATGCCTTAATATTTATTTGTTCAAAACCACTTTTAATTGACAGCATTTATAGGCAGTAGGTGAAGGATTACACACGTGTATCCACCCTGGATACACAGTCAATGTGCAAGGAGTTTAGGGAACGGGGGTCGTTGGAATACATTCGATGCCAAAGTATCAGAGGTCTAGCATGGACCCACAGCAGCCACTTTCTCAAAAAGTTAGGTTCTAGTCTCGCTGATACTATTAGGGACCCAAGAGCTGCCAGTTTCCTGTTTCAGCGCTTTTGTGGAGAGATGAAATCCAGAGAGGAAACGTTTGCTGTGTCCTTTGTACTCCCTCGTGGTCGAAGAGAATCCAAACCTGTGACTGTTCAATGCCACCGTAAAGTATAAACAGATTCAGTGTAACACAAAATACGTTATCTATCGTGGGAAATAAAAATGGTAACCTCGTTATCGTAGGAAGGTGAACCCGCGGACCTGTATGATGTCAGGCGGAACCTATTACCTCTAGACATCACCCACCTAACACATACAGGCCGGGGGGCCCTTACTCATAAGTTCTCATGATGTGATATGAGGTTCAACTGGTTCTCATAATTCATCAGTTTGAAGTGATCATAACTCGCAACGCGAGAAGACTTTAGCATAGAAATAGAGCCTTCAACAGGAGACAAAGCTTCAACTCGGGACAAAGCTTCAACAGGGGAGAGAGCTGCAACCGGGGAGAGAGATTGACATGAGGAAAGGGCTTCGCAAGGAGAGAAAGCTGCACAAGTAATGAAGCTTCTCCATGACCTACAGCTTCACACGAGGGCAGAGGTGCAAGAAGAGGATACAGCTTCTCAGGGATAAGATGGGAAGCCTTAATAAACAATGTCGCTGCTCTGGAATAATCTATTCACTATCACAGAAATTATACAACACTATGAACGTTTAAATTAAATCTTTACGAGCTAAATTGCATTAAAATTCTAATTATATGCTGCAAAGTCTGACACCAACAAAGTCTGACACTAACAAAGTCTGACACTAACAAATCTGACACCAACAAAGTCTGACACCAACAAAGTCTGACACCAAGAAAGTCTGACACCAAGAAAGTCTGACACCAACAAAGTCTGACACCAAGAAAGTCTGACACTGACACAAATCTGACACCACTACAAAGTCTGACACTGCAAAGTCACCCACAAAGTCTGACACCAACAAAGTCTGACACCCACAAAGTCTGACACTAGCAAAGTCTGACACTAACAAAGTCTGACACTAACAAAGTCTGACACCAACAAAGTCTGACACCCACAAAGTCTGACACTAACAAAGTCTGACACCCACAAAGTCTGACACCAACAAAGTCTGACACCCACAAAGTCTGACACTAACAAAGTCTGACACCAACAAAGTCTGACACCCACAAAGTCTGACACCCACAAAGTCTGACACCAACAAAGTCTGACACCCACAAAGTCTGACACCCACAAAGTCTGACACCAACAAAGTCTGACACCCACAAAGTCTGACACTAACAAAGTCTGACACCAACAAAGTCTGACACCCACAAAGTCTGACACTAACAAAGTCTGACACCAACAAAGTCTGACACCAACAAAGTCTGACACCCACAAAGTCTGACACTAACAAAGTCTGACACCAACAAAGTCTGACACCCACAAAGTCTGACACCAACAAAGTCTGACACCGGGACCTGGCGGCGCTGTTCTCCTAGAGGAATGGCAGCTCTCGAAAGATTTTTCACAGAGTTGCTCAATCCCAAGTCGTAATATTTTATCCCTCAGGACATCAGCACAGGAGCGGCACATGAGCAGCTCAGCAGCAGCAGAAACACTTGCGCAGTAACAGCACAGTAACTGTGCTCAAACACTGTGTTACAGTGGACCTATCACACAGGTAACACTGTGTTACATTATTATTATTAACAACACAATTATTTAAATTGCTTTAATCAGTTGTATTTCCCTACTGAAGCTTTTCACTTAATACAAATTGACGGAAATATTTCTTAGCTCTCGACATTGTGATTTCCTGTGTTACACACCTGGTGGAGGAGTCACCTGTGCTACACACCTGGTGGTAGGATCACGTGGGATTACACACCTCGTAGGGAATTCGCCTATTACTATACAACTGGTAGTGAACGCATATATCCCCACACACCTGGAAGTGAACTCACCTTCAGCACATTTGGTTTAGGAGTTATCTATTACCTTATACCTGGTAGTGGACTCACCACACACACCACACACCTGGCAGGGGACTCACCAAACACAACAAACACCTGGCAGGGGACTCACCAAACACAACACACACCACACACCTGGTAGGGGGACTCACCACACACACCACACACCTGGCAGGGGACTCCCCAAACACAACACACACCACACACCTGGTAGGGGGACTCACCAAACACCTGGTAGGGGACTCCCCAAACACACCACACACCTGGTAGGGGACTCCCCAAACACACCACACACCTGGTAGGGGACTCGCCAAACACACCACACACCTGGTAGGGGACTCGCCAAACACACCACACACCTGGTAGTGGACTCACCACACACACCACACACCTGGCAGGGGACTCACCAAACACAACAAACACCTGGCAGGGGACTCACCAAACACAACACACACCACACACCTGGTAGGGGGACTCACCACACACACCACACACCTGGCAGGGGACTCCCCAAACACAACACACACCACACACCTGGTAGGGGGACTCACCAAACACCTGGTAGGGACTCCCCAAACACACCACACACCTGGTAGGGGACTCCCCAAACACACCACACACCTGGTAGGGGACTCGCCAAACACACCACACACCTGGTAGGGGACTCGCCAAACACACCACACACCTGTAGGGGACTCACCAAACACACCACACACCTGGTAGGGGACTCACCAAACACACCACACACCTGGTAGGGGACTCACCAAACACACCACACACCTGGCAGGGGACTCGCCAAACACACCACACACCTGGTAGGGGGACTCACCAAACACCTGGTAGGGGACTCCCCAAACACACCACACACCTGGTAGGGAACTCCCCAAACACACCACACACCTGGTAGGGGACTCCCCAAACACACCACACACCTGTAGGGGACTCGCCAAACACACCACACACCTGGTAGGGGACTCACCAAACACACCACACACCTGGTAGGGGACTCGCCAAACACACCACACACCTGGTAGGGGACTCCCCAAACACACCACACACCTGGTAGGGGACTCCCCAAACACACCACACACCTGGTAGGGGACTCACCAAACACAACACACACACACCTGGCAGGGAACTTTCCAAACACACACACACACACCGGCAAGGGACCCGCAAACACAACACAACACACACACACACACCTGGCAGGGGACTCCCCAAACACAACACAACACACACACACACACACACACCTGGCAGGGAGGGGGGGGGGACTCCCCAAACGCAAACACCTGTATAATTACCTGACTCCCCTCCAGAAACCACTGTAGGGTGGGTTTGTGTTCCCCCTGGAAGGCTTCCTTAGGCTGGCAGCCAATCTTGATGAGTTCCGTGGGCTCGTAGATCTCCCGCGCTCCCACCAGTACCGGCGGCGACAAGGGCTCTCCTGTGGGAGGAAGGAGGGCTCATATTAATGTCCAGGGGCTCATATTAATGTCCAGGGGCTCAAATTTATGTCCAGGGACGTAAAGATCAGCCACGGGAATCTCCCCCACTATTGCCCTAACCCCCCCTCCTCCTGCCCCCACGACCCCCTCCTTCTGCTCCCACGACCCCCTCCTGCCCCCCATGACCCCCCCTCCTGTCCCCTACGGCCCCCCTCCTGCCCCCCACAACCCCCTCCTGCCCCCACAACCCCCTCCTGCTCCCACGACCCCAAGAGACTTTTGACAGCGTGCGGAACACGGAGCAGTTTACGAGGGAACTTGTAGCGCGCACGCGCCCTGGGGGACGCCAAGCTCCAGCCCCACTGTTGATGAGGCGGGTCCAGACGTCCCCACCCCCCACGCCTTGGCACGCCCCCACGCCTCGGCACGCCCTCTAAAGCTTTCATTTGTAAGTCTATATGTGTGTGTGTGTGTGTGCGCGAGAGAGAGAGAGAGAGAGAGAGAGAGAGAGAGAGAGAGAGAGAGAGAGAGAGAGAGAGAGAGAGAGAGAGAGAGAGAGAGAGAGAGAGAGAGAGAGAGCACTGTTGACGGTCGTGACAGGGGTGTACAGAGACGGTGGTGTACAGGGTGGACGGACGGTAACTTCCTCAGCCACAAAAATAATACGATCAATTAAAAGAACCAGAGTAGACCTAAGCTCGACATGAAAGATACTCAACGATAGAAAAACTGGTCAAGGACGTCTGGCGAAAAAACAAACCGCTTACAAGTTAATATTGGAATCGCCGAGGAGAAAGAGAGCCATCAGAAGGCGCTCCTGATTGATATAAAGTTTGGGATCAGGAGCCGGGGGGGGGGGGGGTTCATGAGCCGGGGCTTAGGAGTTGGGACTCAACCGCGTAGGAACACACACTCAGCACCTTCTCATGTTTATATGTTTGTTTTCGCAAAGCGGGCCTCCATTTGCATATAATAACGTGAGGTATACGCAGCCCACCTGTACACCACCACCGGTGCCACCTGTACACCACCACCGGTGCCACCTGTACACCATCACTGGTGCCACCTGTACACCACCACTGGTGCCACCTGTACACCATCACTGGTGCCACCTGTACACCACCACTGGTGCCACCTGTACACCACCACCGGTGCCACCTGTACACCACCACCGGTGCCACCTGTACACCACCACTGGTGCCACCTGTACACCATCACTACTGCCACCTGTACACCACCACCGGTGCCACCTGTACACCATCACTGGTGCCACCTGTACACCACCACTGGTGCCACCTGTACACCACCACTGGTGCCACCTGTCCACCATCACTGGTGCCACCTGTACACCACCACCGGTGCCACCTGTACACCATCACTGGTGCCACCTGTACACCACCACCGGTGCCACCTGTACACCACCACCGGTGCTACCTGTACACCACCACCGGTGCCACCTGTACACCACCACTGGTGCCACCTGTACACCACCACCGGTGCCACCTGTACACCACCACTGGTGCCACCTGTCCACCATCACTGGTGCCACCTGTACACCACCACTGGTGCCACCTGTACACCACCACCGGTGCCACCTGTACACCACCACCGGTGCCACCTGTACACCACCACTGGTGCCACCTGTACACCATCACTGGTGCCACCTGTACACCACCACTGGTGCCACCTGTCCACCACCACTGGTGCCACCTGTCCACCATCACTGCTGCCACCTGTCCACCATCACTGGTGCCACCTGTACACCACCACTGGTGCCACCTGTCCACCACCACCGGTGCCACCTGTCCACCACCACCGGTGCCACCTGTCCACCACCACCGGTGCCACCTGTACACCATCACCTGTACTACGCCGAAACTGTCTGTCTATCTATCTATCTGTATCATCAAGACTTTTCTCTTACTCGGTACATCATGAACTGTAACAAACACCTTTGTTCTTGACCCCGTTCCAAAGAACTGCCGAATATCTATAGGTCCTCCGCTGATAGCAATAGAACTATAGGTAGTTCTACGTCTATATAGAATAGATAGTAGATAACAATAGGAACTACTAACACTAAATGCATTACTGATAGGCATTCTGAGTCCAACTGAAAACAGATCAGTGTTGCATAAGAGATCAATGTTGCATAAAATATCAATGTTGCATAAGAAATCAATGTTGCATAAGCTGCATTTTGTGAGTGATTGTGAGCAGGGATAACCCCACAATATGCTAATGTAGAGTTATGAGGTTTGAATTAAATTATCAGGAGAAAGTACCCAAGTTATTACGACAATATACCACTGGGGAAGGGGTCAGGATAAGGATTTGAGATGGAACGGGGAAAACGGAATGGTGCCCAACCATTTGGACGGTTGGGGGATTGAACGCCGACCTGCATGAAGCGAGACCGTCCAAGTCTCACCGTCACACCGTCGTGGTGTGATTAGTTAATATTAGTTCACCTTCTCATCTTGCTATTTCTCAGATATAAATTAATCCGGTGTCTGTCTTACCGTTGTAATGTTAAACCTCACTTTATCTTCACAATATATCGCCTTTAAATGCCAAGGTAAATGTCACTCTCTTTGTGACTAAACTGTGAGCTTCATTTAGACTGATGTATAACTGTTTAGTCCAGCCTGTGTTGTAATGGTTTGTATGAGTTATAAAGAACACAGTTTTTAATTCTGATAATGGCACTGTTAGCCCGTTCTGCTGTTACCGTGACGCTCTCATGGAATTAATATACTGTATTTTTTGTATGCAAACTTTCCCAATTATAGATGTGCAACCATTTATGAATAGAACTTTTTGTTTGATTTGATTGAAACGACCCCAAAATCTAACTTCTACATCAGCTGAAGAACTGACCAACAAATCTAACTTCTCCCGCTATGTGTACCCAGGGTGTAGGGTACCCAGGGTGAAGAGTAACCAGGGTGTAGGGTACCTAGGGTGTAGGGTACCCAGGGAGTAGGGTACCCAGGGTGTAGGGTACCCAGGGTAAAGGGTACCCAGGGTGTAGGGTACCCAGGGTGAAGGGTACCCAGGGTGTAGGGTACCCAGGGTGAAGGGTACCCAGGGTGTAGGGTACCCAGGGTGAAGGGTACCCAGGGTGTAGGGTACCCAGGGAGTAGGGTACCCAGGGTGTAGGGTACCCAGGGTAAAGGGTACCCAGGGTGTAGGGTACCCAGGGTGAAGGGTACCCAGGGTGTAGGGTACCCAGGGTGAAGGGTACCCAGGGTGAAGAGTAACCAGGTGTAGGGTACCCAGGGTGAAGAGTAACCAGGGTGTAGGGTACCTAGGGTGTAGGGTACCCAGGGTAAAGGGTACCCAGGGTGTAGGGTACCCAGGGTGAAGGGTACCCAAGGTGTAGGGTACCCAGGGTGAAGGTACCCAGGGTGAAGAGTAACCAGGGTAGGGTACCTAGGGTGTAGGGTACCCAGGGTAAAGGGTACCCAGGGTGTAGGGTACCCAGGGTGAAGGGTACCCAGGGTGTAGGGTACCCAGGGTGGAGGGTACCCAGGGTGTAGGGTACCCAGGGTGTAGGGTACCCAGGGTGTAGGGTACCCAAGACATAAAGCCTCAGGCGAGGAGCTTGCAAGAGGAAAGGTCAGGTTTACACAATTACTGGGCCGCTGGTTACCCAATACGCTTGTGGCCTTAACAGCCGGAAAAGTAAATACGTGATCATTAAGGAAATCATCTGAAAACTAATTGGTTAATTACTCTGCAACTACTCAAATACCACTGCGGCCGTAATGAGCGTGATTATTCTTATTTTGTATAACGAATTGACATTGGTTGTTAGTGTGTTACCGCTCTTCTTGAAGCGTTAATTAGTGTGAATAAGGGAGCAAGAACTCTTGGCTGCTGTGTGTGTGTGTGTGTGTGTGTGTGCGTGTGTGTGTGTGTGTGTGTGTGTGTGTGTGTGTGTGTGTGTGTGTGTGTGTGTGTGTGTGTGTGTGTGTACTCACCTATTTGTACTTGTAAGTTACAGCATTAGCTCTTGGACCAGGCTTTTTTCATTCGCCAGTTGTCTAATGCCGATTGATTCCTTATCTATGTCCCTATCATATCACCTTTTAAAATTATGAAGAGTTTGCTTCTACAGCCTGCGCCTTTAATTCTTTCTATTTTCACATTACTCTTATGCTAAAAGAATACTTTTTACCATCTTTCAAACATCTGAATCCCTGCTAGATTCATAAGTTTATTTAGCAGTCTCTTATCCAAATGCTTTCTAGGAATATAGGATGACGTAGTTCGGTCATTCTTCCCTTCCCTGCTGTGTTGCAGCTGGCTTGTTGAAATATGCCAGTAGACATAGTCTAGTCATCATAGCTACAACATTTGAAGCCATGTTGGTGTTTGGAGACAAGCTTGGCACACTCTAGAAACTTGAATATTCACGAGTCTGTGCTTGATAATTGTGTTCTTTCCTTGGCAGGGAATGCATGTAACACTGATTTGTAGAGTAGGAGCTCTTGCCTGGCCCCCCCCATCCTTGGACATGGTTACAGCAATGCCTGTCTGTCATTGCTTCGAGGTCTGTAGCTTTCGCTTCTGATGCTTTCGTCTCATCTATCTCTCTATTTGCTTCCTCACGTCCTCTGTTGCCAACATCTGTTTCAAAATCCTGTTGTCTAGTTGCATCTTGTACTGTGCGGTAATTTTCGGAAAAGATCCTGTTATGTTCCGTTCAACACATCACACAGTTCGTTGTCATTTTCTGTATGATTTCGACCTTTCCCCGGACTCGTGGTCACACCCATAATATGGTCGTGCAAGAATTGATGTTTTACCCTTTTGATCGACATGTGGTCAACATAGTGGATACGACTGTCATCTCACTGTGGCATAGTTATCACTCACCTTGCTGTGGCACTCGTGTTCCTCCTGTGGCTCGCAGTCCTTGCTGTGGCACTCGTGTTCCTCCTGTGGCTCGCAGTCCTTGCTTATTGCTCCCACCCTTCTGTTCGCCTTTCCT